AGAGTAAATTAGAGTAAATTAGAGTAAATTAGAGTAAATTAGAGTAAATTAGAGTAAATTAGAGTAAATTAGAGTAAATTAGAGTAACAGCTCAACCTACAAATCGTTCGGTTTGGGTCTGCAAAACCGGTCGGTTCGGCTTTGTTAACATTAGCTTTAGCCGCACTAGCCAACCATCTGTCGGTCCAATCGGAGAATCTCGGCTTTTCCGGGTGGAACCGGATAAAATGACGGAAATGACGGAAAAAAACATAGCAAAATTAGAACATATTAAAAAAAAGAAATTGAAAAATTGAAAAATGATTCACATTGTTATATCAAAAAATAAAAATTTAAAAATTCCTGTTTGTTTCACCCTCAATAGAGATTGGAGTTTGTTTCACCTTCAGTAGAGATTGGAGTTTGTTTCACCTTCAGTAGAGATTGGAGTTTGTTTCACCTTCAGTAGAGATTGGAGTTTGTTTCACCTTCAGTAGAGATTGGAATTTGTTTTAATCAAACTACAAGTATAGTTGGCTAATTAGTTGGCTAAATATGATAGTCGACTAGACTGAATCCAATCCTTATTATACGTACGTACGCGTGGTATTTAATTAAGAAACCATCACATGAAATTAACCAGCAAATTAGCGATTGACATTTGTCCTTTTTTTATTTTCGATATACAGTAATCTTGAAATAGTTAATAATTTAGTTCCGGGCACATGCTTTCGCTATGCATTTGTCTAGTACAAAAATCATAAGTTTCTGCTATTTAAAATACATTTAAATACTATATATAAATTTACTACGTATACATACGTACGTACGTATATATTGTTTTTGTATATACCTTTAAAGATGAACTACGTACGTATTCTTTAAATTTGATGATAAAAAGAATAATTAAACTATAATTGTTTAATATAAGTTTTGATATTACTAGCATATATTAAAGAAATTATTTAAAGAAATTGTAACTACAATAACACCTAAATTATACTGTATATAGATATATATGCATATTTATTTATCTATTTATTTATTTATTAATTTATTTATGTCGATATTTTTGACCAATTAATAACACTAAATTGATTTCTATACACCAATAATTTACAAGTAGTACGCCGATTCTTAGACTAAAAATGATTAGTATCATTCAAAATTCCTATCTGGAGTAGAATAGATAACAACAATTTTATTGTTCAAAAGATCATCATGGACACGTAAATGATGCTGATTGGTTGAATATATGATCATTCATATGAATAAGCACCGGACTACGCACTCCAAGTATTACCGTTACTAAAATCCTTGCGATTACGGTTGAGATAAAATTCTAGTTACATACGTACGTACGTACAAATTTTTGGTAAGTATTTAACAAGGGGTTATTTTGCATAAGAACGTCCTATTGTCGTCATGGCCCGATGGGGGGCGATTGCAAGATGTGTGAGTGGCGTGTACATATTATTTATTTTTTGATACTTATTTTAGTTAAAACATAATACGTATAATATAAATACGTACGTACATGGTACAGTGTAAAAAAAAAAAAAAAAATTCAAAAAAAAAAAGAATAAAAAATGTACAAAAATATTTACACACATATTTGTTACAATGGAAAGAACTAAATTGAAATTAGAACGCTGAAACTATTCTTTATCATATGTGATCTCCTAGTTTCAGATATGGTCTAGCTAAGAATGCAACTGGATTTCGTGGTGATAACAAAGGACACTTTAAAAATGAAAAAACAAAAATGCATTTTTTGGGATTTTAAAATATTGTGAAAATGGCGTATGGTCAATGCATATTTAATGATAGACGTTACATTACTAAGCGGATTTGCATATAAATATATATATTGCATACTAATACATAGTATTTTTGAACTAATGACACGAATTTCAACATTACTTCATGGTGCATTACATTTCTTTTGTCTATTCCATATTTGTAAAGTGAGCGCAATGTCATATCATTTTCACATTCTACATTGCATCTTATTCTTAAAAACCCCAACCTAATAGCTTCCTAATACCCGAATACTATTTATGCACACGGACTTGAGTGCACATGTTAAATTACCGAGAATGATAATCTAAAAATTGTTCCAAGAATATCTTCTTAATCTCGTGCTGTAAATAAAACAAATATTGAAACAAATATTGGACTTATGCAATTTTTTGTGAAATATTAGCTCGTGAATTTAATGATCAAAAAAGATAATTGATAATAATTGATAATAATTGATTGATAATAATTGTATAATCTTGATAATAATCGACTGTACGTATTAACTTATACGTAAATTGCTACATAGAGATATAGATAACATAATTCAATATATATTCTTTATTTAGAAAATTTGGCAAAAATAGTAATTGTATTATGTATAAATGAACCTCAGTAAAAACCAAGGATAAAGCCAAGGATAAAGCCAAGGATAAAGCCAAGGATAAAGCCAAGGATAAAGCCAATGATAAAGCCAAGGATAAAGCCAAGGATAAAGCCAATGATAAAACTAAGAATATATAGTAAAATAATATCATACTCTTAACAAATAAATTTTTATTATGCAAAAGTAAAAATATTTAAATATTCACAAAAGATTACAAAATCTAATTTTGTTCCATAATCAATATGAAAAACAAATGATTCATTTCATCAATGTGTGAAAACTCATTAAATCACTAAATAAATACAAAAAAAAAAAATATTTACACTCCAAACATAACCCAACTCAAACCAGTAAAAAAAACCCCAGTATTGTGATAAATACATAAATGTGAAATATGTATAATAAATGTGTATAATATATACATACATATATAGGGTTACTCAAAATATTACGAATGAGATTATTTTCTGAATACCATAGATTTATTATATTGCAGATAAGAATAATCTGCAATATATTAAATTTATGAAATTAAAAAAATAAACCAACAATATTTGAGCACTCTGTATATATACGCGATAATTGAATAAAATGTATGCTCTACCCCTCATTTCATTCTAGATGTTTTAATGAATGAATGAATGCAAAAGATAAAAACGATGTAAAGTTGTGTTGTTTAAATGCCAAGAATACATGCAAATGATGTATGACTTTTTTTTTAAAAAAAAAAAAAAGGAAATAAATCATATCAATGATTTTACCCAATTTTTCCAATTATTCCAGCAAACCCTAAGTACCCATAAAATAAACATTCCACATACAATCCAACTCATCATTATTATCCAACTCTTCAACACCCAAAATACCATCGTTAAATATGAAATTACAAACGCAACTCTTATTCCAATAGAATAAATTGAAATAAAAATTGAATGAAGTGCAGATTCAAGTTGAGAATTATCATCCAAATCCAGTTGAAAGATTGAAGTGAATAGAGGTGAAATATAAGTATCGAGCATTTGCAAGGTAGTGGCAAAGTATTTGTTTGAAGAACTAGGAAGAGTGAACATTCTGAGTAATGATAAAATGAGTGAAAAAACGCAAATGATTATGAATGGACCATCGTTTTCATTTTCCCCATTGTCCCCACTGTTTATAGGCGATGACAATGATGCACGTGATGCTGACGAAAGCCTTGCTGCAGATAATGTCTGTGAATGATGATACGATTGCGACGATCGTGACGAATTTAAGGTAAGTGGAATTGAACTATGATGCATTAAATAATGTTCCCGGAATTCGATTAGATCGTATAACGTTACATTGCACTCTATACATGTAGGATGCCCGCGAAAATTGGATTCTTTGCCATCACCATTTCGGCAATGCCTTTTTAATTCCTCTCGGTTAAATAATCGATGTTCCCATGAAAATATTTTTCGGTACTCTACACATTTACCACTAAAAAATATTATTATAGTTATTATAGTATTCTATAATATTATTAAAAAAAATGTAATAATAATTTTATAACTCACCAAAACATTAATTTATGAGCAGTACGAACGTGTTGAGAAAGTTCAGTCCAACCATCACATGCAACTTGACATGATTTTAACGGACATCGAAGCCTTATCGTATTTGTGACCATTCGATAAATTGATTCATCCTCACATAATATTTGAAAATCTGAAATAATATACCATGCTTTTGATGATAATAATGTTGAAAACGATGTATCTGAATCATGTGTAAATATTATCCTGTTTTGTTGTGCCTATAAAGTCAAGTTATATATATTAAGAACGATTAAACATAATCATAATCTATAGTAATATATCAATTAAATTAGTATTTTTAAAAAAGCTTACCCTACAATAAGGGCAAGTACTGTTTTCAAATAAAACACGAGATCTCAAAGCACATAAGTAACAAATCCTATGATTACATTGAGAAATCGCATAAACAGTTATATGTTCCGTACATATAGAGCAATAATCTACCACAATTTTTTCTTCGTCACATTTGCTTTCCACTTTATGTAAATCCTTAGTAATATTTTGATTATCTATTGATGGTATTTGACTGTTCGTGATGCGCAAAGATGGCATGGTGGATGAATGTGGGCTTGTTGTGCTTGTAGTTTTTATTTTATTAATATGTGAAGGTATTGACGGTAATAATTCCGGTGCTAGAAGAATTGTATCCTTTTTAGTGTCAATGCAAGAGATGTTGCTACACATTCTTATTGTAAAAACAAAAAAAAATTTTATGAAAAACTTGTGTCGAAAATTTAAAAGTGTATTTATGGTCTGGATGAGTTGTTAAAAATTGCTTAAATTGCTTTTTTGTCTTAATAGGTCGTTATATATCAAAATTTTCAAATGTTATGCAAAGGCTTTTTGTCCAAATATGTATAACAAATGCAAACCGCATAATATAAACTAAAAATAAATATGACTAACAAGCCGAATTAAAAAATCTCCAATCTTAAATAAGTCACAGACTCCAAGGAGACTTTTTTTTTTTTTATGATTGCCATGCTGAACTGAAAAAATTACGTATCTGTATATATGGAAAACCAAGTCGGCTGGCATGTTATTTGGATGATCAATATATAAATTTGGCGATCGCATGTTCCAACTTTATTAAATATTAAATAGAAATATGTACTAATTTGTATTTATTGTTTATATTGTACTACTTTTCGATAAATTAAATTAGCCAATAAATGTTTGACAAGTTTTGTTAGAAAATTTGTGATAACATTTTTTTAAGAAAAGTTTCATAATATAAGTCATTGTTTTATTGTAATCACACAAGCCAGTGGCTGGAACTTGGTTCCGGTTTTATTTTTCATATGTTCAACCTTATTTAAATATAAGTTTTAATATATGGAAATTAAAACCCGGTTCCAAACTCTAGGTGAGTATTGTGGCGGGAAAGTTAAAGTAGCGGAAAAGTTAAAGTAGCGGATCAAATTATATTGAACTTGCGATTTACAGTGTTCCTAAGGAATACGTATTTAAAAGTTTATGTAATAGTTATATCTGAGACAGTTAGGTATAAGCGAAATTTTGCGGTAATATATAATCGGCCGCTTACTCGGCCGATTATATTTACCTGCAAAATTTCGTTATACACTAGGTGGCATGGGTATAAGTGGAATGAACCTCCGTTTATAAAAGTAGAATCCAGTGTACGTATAACCGATTTACACCCTGCGATCTCGGTACTGTATCATACTGTATACATTACACACTTTCGTCTAAAAACCCCCTTTTTATAATCTTTTACTTTAAAGAGCGAAATATGATAGAAAACTTTCCATATTTAAATTTTTATTTAATTATAATAAGTTTCTGGCATTAAAACAATTCCTTAAGTAAATGATGTTACTAGCAACTAGTAAAAATAAATACGCACGTACCGTACATGAAAAGTGTCATGTGTATGGGGGTTGGCCAGGGGACAAATGTAAAGATCGCAGAAAATCACAAAATCTACAGGTTCCTGATTGAAAATAACGCTTGTATTTTAATCTGAATTGGACTTTTATATATTCATTAATAAAAAAAAATCAAAAAACATTCAATTCTCTACGTAAATACTTTTATGCATAAATATTTATGTCGCGAATGGATACTGCGGCTAAATCATACCAAGTCTTATTACTTTAAAATCGCCCCTGAAAGCTTCGAGATTACTTTCTCTAATGTAGTTTTTAGTCAGCAAATGAACTTGATAGTACGTAATTCTTTTTTAGAAAATTTCGAAAAATTTATTGTTAAAAATTTTATATTTAGAGAAAACTTGAATTTATAGAAAGTAAAATCTATACGTATCGGTAGATTGAGAATGCCATTTCCATTTATTACGTAATTTCTTTTTTATTAGAAAATCAGACCCCTTCCCCCTAGGTAATCGAATTAGTAACCACTCATAAGCATTTTATATATTACACATATACGTAGATATAGATGATATAGATGTAATCTGACTGATAACCCTTTCTCCCCTCATAAATAAAATTACGTAATAAACGGCACTTCCCTATTTTAATGAGAATTTTATTAGGGTCTCATTTAGAAAAAAAATATACATACCTAAAATGGAATTTATGTATAATACAGTCCCTTATTAATACAGTATAACCTCGATACGTATAACGAACCTCGATATAACGATAACGAAGATTATTTCTAATTTTTGTGTTTAAATTAGCCCCGATATAACGAAAT